ACGCGTATTATTTAACTAGCAAAATTGTTTTATGAGGGTTTTACAATAATAAGTGATTGATATATTTAGGTTGTACCCAAATTTAAATATTAGCAAAGTATGTCTATTAAAAGTGTACAATTGAAAACCTATTTTATAAGTATACTTTAAATAGAATAATGATAATAATGATAATAATAATTGATGATAATTAGCATAATGATATGGTATCAAAATATTCACTGATCATCATCATCAGCGATATCATCTTCTTACCCTTTTAAGTAGGCTTTTAATAGTAGGCCAAAACCTCCTTTCTAAGGAGAGGCCTATGTCCAGCGGTGGACAGGCTGTTGATGATGATGATGAGTTTTCTTCTCCATTCTCCTCTGTCACGTCTTTCAAGCAGTCCTTTATTTCAGTTCGAAACAGTTTTGGTTTCTTTCTTTTATGGCCGACCAACCCTCCTTAGGAGTGTAATCGTTCTTCGTCCATAGTATGAAGCTAAAACCTGTTGACCACGTGCTCAGATGCTATTCTTTCTCACAATAAACCCAAAGCTTTTAATATAAATTATATCAGATGATAAGTTTTATTAAATTAGTTTTTAATCTCCCCATTTACCTCATTCAGCCTTCACAGGCCAACATAGGAAGTCTTCCTATTCCATTTCCTTCTGGATTTGTATCGAACGAAGTAAATTTCCTTTGTTCGTGCTAGACATGTCGCCATGTTGAAACGAGTAGTCTGCTACGACTGTACGATTGGTGTTGGGGTTAAAGCGGTCATCTCGCAGCTTAGTACTGCTCTGAGTGTTGTGGGTCCGATTCCACAGGGGACAACGCTTTGTGTGATCCACAAATTACTTTCCTGAGTCTGGGTGTTCTTTGTGTCCGTTTTATTAATGTTCATAAAATCCCCCGCTACAAAGCAAATATTGCTAGTGAGTTCTTAACAAAAAAAACTTTTTATTTACAAAACAACACATTTTTATAAGTTAAATTGTGCATTCTAAATTTCTTACTTTCTTGATGTGGCGACTCTCTGGTGCTGAATGACCTTCGCTATGTAAATGCCATTCTTTTGGAGTCTGAGGAAAATCTGATTTAGGAAGCCAAAATATTTTGCCGTTTTTTTTGAAAGACATTAGCAATTTTCAATTTTGTTTTCTCTTAACTACACCGCACCTACCACTCAAAGATCGTTTCGCATTTTTGGCACACAACGAACTCGAGAAATTTCATAGGAAAAGTTTCAAATCAATAATATCAGAGCTTCTCAGAGTAGTAGTTGTTCTGGAGATCAGAAAAGGTCTATTTTATCTTAACGAAATCACACGTAGCCTCGGTACTAGTTGAGAACATAGAAATTCTCAAGGAAGCAATACTCATAAATATTGGGTACGAGGAGCCCGTCGTGTATACATAGATAAATAAGATGTTCAGACAGATTACACAAGCGAAACTGTTCGAGGTTCATTTCCTTGCACGCGGCACCATCGCCTATGCAATTTGTCACGTAGGAGTTCTTCTCTTATGCTGGAAAAATATTTTATAGTCAAGTGTTTTCAAACTTGGCTCGTGTGGCATATATCTCTTTAAATTATTTGTGATAGTGAGGTTTGTAAAAAGCGATTTTTGTGAATTTAAGTAAATTAAGATTTTACTAAATTAACTAACGAGATTTTATGAAACTAATAAGTCAACCTTCGGATTACCAAAATAAAGGTTTACACAATGTGTTACGCTCTATGGTCTAAACGGCTTGATAGATTTTGTTGTGGGAGGTAAAATTTTCATCCTCATTACCTAGATAGTATGCGCTCCACTACTGTGCGCTTTTCGAGACGAGACTGTGGAACGGGTTATCGTCTGCGGTATTTCCGGACCGATACGACCTTCAAACCTTCAAGAAAAGAGCGTACTCCTTCCTTAAAGGCCGGCAACGCGTTTGTGACTCCTGAGTTGCAGACGTTAATTGGCGGCGATGGTCACTTTACATCAGGTGACCCGTCTCCTCTCTCTCCCTCTTAAATAAAAAATAAAAAAAGAATCACAAATGATTATAAACAAACGAACTTAAATTTTTTATGTTAACGTATTTGTGAGAGGCGTCGTCAAAAGTGATGAACCATTTGTTGACGCAAGTACTTACAAAATATCTTCAGCTATAAAAACCTCTTCAAACGCGTAATATCAGTATATTAAGGAATGTGTTTGCTCCATATGTTTGTCACATCCTCAGCGTTGAGGTACTTTATGATTATTGTTACTGATATTACACGTTTCCCTTCATGTATAGAGAATCGTTAATTTACTAAATGACAAGGAACTTGATATATTTCACTGATGAAAACATTATTTGCTTTTGGCATTTGATACATCTTCATTAGTGTTAATACTGCATATATTTAGGTGCGTAATAATTTATTATACTAAATTTTATTGAATAAGACAATAACGAGAGAAAAAATATAAAAGCGTTCAAATTTGATTTCCGTTCATAATTTGTGACTTTAAGGACTTATATTAGACCCACAAGTTTCACAACCTACCTTAACTTTTTTTATTTAATAAATACTAGCTTAACATTAGAGTAGAGACCTCTGGTGGCAGATTGATTGATGCGGTAGGAGATAGGATGAGGCCGGCTGTCTGTGTGGTTTTTAGTGGCATCACAACTTACTCCTGGCTCCTGCGTCCCCGAGGAGGAAGAGATCCGAAGGGATTTTTCATCCCGTCAACAAAAAAAAAGGCTCTACGTAATCAGACTGCTGATAGACATGTATTTCTAAATACACACACATAGTCAAATTACACCCAGACACCAGACATAAAAAATGACCGTGCTCATCAGACAATATCTATAGTGGGTGAGAATCTAAACCAACAACCTCTGACTTAGATCGCTTAGATCGCAGTAGACCAGCAGATCACTTAAGCTGACTTCTGTAGTACAAATGTTTTCAGAGTTGTATGTATATAATTTCTAAAAATCACTTACAACACAATTTGTTTCGGCTTTGAACGCTTTGCATCAACTGAATCAGCTGGTTCAATTTAAATTCAAAGCATATCAAATGGAGTAGCAAAACATTAACATCGTTACTGAGTTCAAAGGCTTCAACAGTGCACTTTACAACATTTGCTTCGCTCCGGTGCCTGTGCCCATTCATGTACACAAACTAGACTACGAATATTGCTGAATTATGATTGAAGGTCTTTCTTTAATATTAAGGATAGACAGTCATACTCACGTTTGTATTTCAGGGCTCTTCAGCTAGTTGTGGACCTCTTTTCAATTAACGTCTGAAACTCCTTGAAAATATCGCATGTCTTTAATAAATACCAGTCAAGTTTTTATTCGTATATGAAATTTCAGCCATGACAGGTTCATTGCCACCATTCTAAATGATAGGCATAAAGTTTACTTGGAACAAACAACTTCATAGGTAAAATCTGCACTTAAACCACTACGCCACTATAACCCGGCAATCTCGTGCGCGACCGTCCCGCGGGGTGACAGACAGTGGCGGGGGCGAGTTAGCGCTTCATTCTAGCACACGGCTACACGAAGAGAAGTGTTTCCCTTCCCCGCTACTCCACCCGCTACCCGCTGAAATCTTGAGTACCTCGTCCCCGCCACCGTCGGTCACCCCGCAGGACGGTCGCGAACGACGTTGATGGACTATAGGTAATGGTTTAAGCGGTCACCTCGCCGCTTACTACTATGCTGAGTGTTGTGGGTCCGATCTCCACATTGGACGACACTTTGTGTGATCCACGAATTGGTGTTCTGAGTCTGGGTGTTCTTTGTTTCAATTTCATATATGTTTGTAAAGTCCCCCGCGACACAGGATATATTCCTAATGCGGCCGTTGTCTTTAAAAAAAAAAACTAAAATCTACCTGCGTCAATATTTCTGAATATTGCCTCAAGGGATACTTTTTATTCATTAGCTACATGTTAATTCCCAGTTTATTTGTTCTAATTGTAAAGAGAAGATCCGCAAATAGCATATTATCTATCAAACGTCAAATAATTTGATTTATTAGCTCATTTGACTGATTTATTACGTTAAAATCACTAAATTTGTGTTAATTAATTAATTAAGTTGATTTTACTAATTTTATTTTCCGCAAAACAAAAATCGATTTTGTCACAAACACGATTTTTGTTTTGCGATAAATACATAGTTCATTTTTGCACTATTAATTCTTAATTCCTTCTGTTGCATTTTCTATAGCCGACAGCTCGAATATGACATGTCCATGAGGTTCTGATTCCTGATAAATACATGTCTATTTAATTTTACTTTTTTTTTCTATTGTAACTGAAGCAGCAGTGTTTGTGTCCGACAATTTTTCTGCTGCAAAATGGTTTTAAAGTTCAAGTGTGCTTTTTCACTGTTTCAACGTATTATATTTGAGTTCGCAGCTGTTGACACAGTAATAAGTGGCCATGCTGCATATTAACAATTTATACAATATATATGAATACTTTGGAGTATTGGATAATGAATCAACAAATTACTTTTTGCATACCGAAATTAAAAACGTAGACATTAGAAATTCCCGCCAGATCATTCTTGGAAATAAGATGTAGTGTCCATGGACGTATAAAAAAAGTCGGACAGAGTCTCGCTAACAAAAATCTGTGTCACTCTTAGTCGGCCAGCTCGCTGTACGTACAGGCCGGTACGCACACTTACACACATTAGTGGGCCATTACGCTGCAAAACCCGTACTGACTGAAAGAAAAATATTCCAGGAATCACGTTTCATAGGTAAATGAATAATTCAATCACTTATTTTCAGATTTTATACATTAAAATTTCAAAATCAGCATATTCGCTAGAACAAAAGAATTCATTATAAGCCCAGTGTTGCTAATTTTCACGTGTGCAAATTACCTGAAACAAAGGAAATTTTTGGTTTGTTATTAAAATCAATTTGTTAAGGTTATTTATTTATTATTATTTGGTTATTTATTTTCAAGTCCATACAAAAGTTTGTATGTGAAATGTACGCATTGAAGTCGGTTGACGTTAACACAGGCGGATACGAGCTTTTTGAACTTACTAAATTAAGAGTCAAGACGAGAGAGTTGAAAAAAAACTATGGTTGGATACGATGTGTCCTGTTTACCACCTACCGAAGAAGAGTTTTTGCAGCAGGTGAAACGAACCATGTATATTAGCGAGCATATGGTGCAATGCCTACATTAAACGCCAAAGAAAAAGAAACGCGCTGATTGCGGCTGGACACTGGAGTTTCATGAGTTTGATGGACCAATGAGTCAGACTTTTTAAGACAAACCGTCAAATACCTCTGGTCTACATTTAAAATCCATTTTTCTAACAAATTATTTATTTATCTAGATGTAGATGACTGTGAAGCGGAAAATGAAAGTGCCGTAGAGAATAAGACGAGCGACGATGACGAGAACGAAAATGATTTTGATAAAGATGATGTGCCGCACGCGAATCTTGAAAAAAAAAATTAATTTCGTAAAAATAGTATTAGTAACATTAAATATATCTCTCCAGTACATTTCACATGTTTGTTATTCTTGCAACAGTTGCTTCATAATATTAACAAGTAAATTATCATAAATTTCTTTCGTATCCATTCAATTCCACGATTTTTTGTCCGACTGACTCAAAGACTCAATTCTTCTGTCGGACAGTGCTGTTTTTATACATATTGATAATGATGCGCCGTATGATTTTTTTGGCCGACATGTATTTATCAGGAAACATAACCTAACGAACATGTCGTATTCGAGCTGTCGGCTATAGAAAACGCAGCAGACAATCTGTCATACAATATCATCGCTGTATTTTATAAGGAATTATGAATGAATAGTGCAAAAATGAACTATGTACTTGTCGCAAAACAAACATCGTGTATCCGACATGTTTGCGTTGGTAGAAAAGCTATTTGCGGCTGAATTTTTGTCGAACACAAATGTTTTGGAACTTGTTAGTAAATAACGCGTCTAATTTGTTAAAAAGGAAAACGTATTTGTTAAAAAAGAAGTAATTACGAATTCGATACACTTAAAGCGTGCTACCACCAAACAGCAACATTTTCGACAATAGTCGTAATAAGAAAGTTTAGTAGACTCTTTAAAATGAAGCTTCTGACAAAAGTTCAGATATGTATTAATCATTTATTAAATTGGGTGACGTACTACACGTTAAGTCCTTCTGAACAATAATTCACTTACAAGTTCTCGTCAGACAACATATTTCCTTCACTTACCAACTTTAGTAGAAATTAAAGAGCACATTGTTTACTAAATTACATTAAACTGTTCCTGCTAACTTAGAAAGTTTGTGAGCTTGTAGTCTAGTAAAATGTACGGAGTTGCATAAAACTCGAAGTGAGTTTCGTACAGCCCATCGTAATGTTAAAGTATTAAGTTATTTTATTTCTACGCATGCTCTGTTCAAGTTTTTTATCTTTTGCTTATTGATAAAAAGACTTGTTTTAATTCTACTTACTATTATTATTATTTTATTACCCGTGTGGTGACGGATTAAGAATACTTGCTTTTTACTTTGCTGACTATCCTACATGATATCTAATGCATTCTGAATTTATCTCACAAACGGAATTAAACATTTAATGTCAGTCATTTTAATCTTTTTAGAGGTTGATTGCAAAGTTTTTTTTCCAATTGTTCATTAGTTATAGTGCCAAGAACATTGATTGCCCTCGACAGATTTTTATCTTCTATTTATCTTCATTCTACCTTATTTCTCCGTCTTTATATTTTTTATTGTCTTGTTATAATTCAGGGCAGGAAAGGCTCGGTGCTTTTTAGTAGCGAATTTATTTTTATCGCTATGATCTGCCATAATAGGATTTTAGCAATTTAGCTCAACGATACTATTACAGTAATTACTGTAACGTGGTAATTCCTATCTAACTGTGACTAAATTAAAACTTGTTTACTGTTTTTCATTTCTTGATGAAAGATAACTCATGAGCTTGCATCCCTACAAATAACACCTTTGCGAAGTTTCATGATGATCGGCTTTAATATATTTTTTTAAATAAATATTACTACGGTTTCCGCTTAGTCAGGCAGAAAATGTGGTGTTGCCAGTGAGCAGAAATGATAAACTCCCAATTTTTTTTCCTCATTAGTCAATATTATGTGCTTTTTTTTATCGTTTTTGTGTGTAATTCTATGCCAAAATAAATCTTTTATTGCTTTCTTTACTAGGATCGCCGGTCCCACATTACTAGTATTATTTTGAACCCCTCCAAACGGTACTGTACGTCTTGAAGTTCGAACCTGCTACCACTTGACCACAAGACCGACGTTTATTATTTCATTTCATTGTAAATTCCATTGATTGTGTCCTAAATAGAAATTCTTTTAATCATTGTTAGTGAGTAACCATGTAGGGTACATATATACTCGTATAGTTTACACTACTGATTTAGATAGAGTGCTGCGTCAGTCAGCGATTATATACGAGCTTGTACAGGTTGTGTCATTTGGCTACCCCCACTTTACTGTATATATATATAGTATATAGCCAAACACTTAATTCACAAACAAATGATTGTTGTACAATCATTTGTTTGTGAATTAAGTGTTTGGCTTTAATATTAGGTTCTCACAGTTAGTAAATTATATGTCACTTTTATGTTACCTTTTTGTTTTAAAACAACTCAAAATTAATTTTCAATCTTGAAAAAATTGTTTTTAATTAAAGTTGAATCTTTTACTACTCACATCACATCACAACAACAGCCTATAACAGTCCACTGCTGGACATATGCCTCTCCTTAGAAAGGAGGTTTTCGCCTTTTACTACTCGATTACGGCAAATAAGACATTCATTTTTCCCCTCTTCCATTCCATTCATTTCCCTTCATCTGACCCCGTTCATTTTTTTTTTACTTTAAACTTAAGTCCAAGTAATTTTAGACTTAAATTATTGAATAAATCAAATGCCAAATGAATTAAGTAAAAAGTCATGTTGATTTCCGGATTTCTTATAGTACTTATTTATTGATTTTGTATCTGCCAAATCTTAATTTATTAAGCTTCTTAAGCAAATTGCAGTAATGCATATTGCGGTATTCACAGCGGTATCCGACAGTGCGGTGCCGATATTAAGCTCTTTGAAACTCGACGTTACACGTTGGAGCTTTTAAGCAGCTCAAGTGAGGTTCGCCATGTTCCTCTATGGACATAATTTACCTCTGTAAGTAGCTATATACACATGTATATACCCGACTCCCCCATTAAAGGTTTCGATGATACTAAAATATAAATAATTTCAAACTCAAAATAGCGTTATGTTGAACCGGGGTCCTTTTTTGTTTCATCAAAGAATTAAGACATAATTTATTTTACTTTCTAGTTAATTTTATACTACCTACCTAGCTATACTCAATAGCCTAGTTAATATTACGCCAATTAATATTATCGAACATAATAATAAAACAATTTAATACTATAACCACAAAAAAAAAACATAAAGCTTAATAATTGGCAACATTATAACTTCGAGTTTTAACATTCTGTTATTACTCATTTCTTTCTCACATACGTTACTAAAGACCCAAAGTCTATGGAACGACTAGAATATAATTTATTAAGTTTAATGAATTTAAATGACATTTCATCTAGCGAGCAATGTAATAAACCAGTTTAAATTGTTCATAACAAGGTTTAATAAAAGTTAGTGGTGATGTATAGTATGCCAGCATACCAGTCCCGGTAAATCGCGATGAGTAGTGGGAGTTTTACCGCTCTTGCTTTGTACGGCGTAAAACCTTTTTAAAACTCCATAAAGCGTTTTATTTCTGCTGTTGAAAAGACAAAGATTACTTGTAGCGACAAGGTTTAAAAAATATTTACATTTTATAACTAAAGTGTATTAAAGGATTATATTGACGAGGAGGTGACGACGCATATATATACTACTAGAGCTACGCTTTTGAATCAGATCAAACGTTCAGATTTTTAAGTTAGATCCGTTAACCTACCTATGAAGAGGCACTAGAACCGTCCCCTGCGTCTCCATTTCTAGAATGTGATCTAATTGGGAAAATATAGGATGGGGTCCGTAAAAATATATCTTATATTACTGTGAGCAACAACAACATTGCTCAAACCAAATAAATAAATTTTGATGCTTACGCCACACATAGTCGGTGACGCTATTACTAATAACAGTTTAGTTAGTTTAGATTAGTTTTATAAGTTAAATAAATTTCAAAAACCACTAAGACATACTTAAAAACGCCGCGTTGGCAGCTAGGTGCGTCGTTTTTGTTTCTAATCTTACGACTAAAATTGGAGTAGGTCAGGGACTGAATTCAGTTTCTTTTTCTACTATTCTATGTTTTTGGCAATAACATTGTCATAAACTTCTTGGTTTTGGTCAAATGATCCTTTGTTTTGCTGCTGCTTTCTCCGCATATATGGAGAAATATCCGTTTTTATGACCAAAATTTTCCTTTTAAAAAATGAGTCATTTCACTATTAGGTCTGTTTTTAACTTACCACTACACATACGGTAAAGTTACATAACATTAGAAAAAATAAAATGAGGTTAGATGTTATCTAGACTCCGTAAGTAGTGCAGCTCGTGTTCTCCTTCTGGATTCTTCCAATAAAATTCTAACCGACCAACACGACGTGACAAGGACACGTACATTGTTCATTTCTTTGTTTCTTAACATTCTGAACATACTTACTGACTTGTAGACTCCGTGTATTTACCAACTAAGGTGTATAAATATACGTCCGATATTAAAAATATTTTGACTTGTAACTGTAATGAAATAATTAAACTGCATATCAAACATTTATTTATTTATTTATTTATTAAAAACAATTACAGTGTCTTCTGTCATCTTCCTGCACTTTTTGCAATTTCATTCGCGATTGGCGCAACTTGTAAAGCTGCAAAGGGTTTTAGCTGGCCGGCCATCAAAAGAAGCGATGTTTATCAGAACCCTCGACGCGAGAAGCATGTCATAGATTATTTTCTATCTCTGTCATGTTTACTCGTACTTTAGATAATTTGATATAGCACATTACATATTTATATAGCTTCAGAATAGTTTTTCAAGATTAAAAAATGAGAAATACATTTCATTGCATAATTTAACATCGAGAAATGCTAAGAAACCACTTTACTCAGATTTTCAAACTCTGTTTTCGCAGATTACTGTCAACTTATATTTTTTATATTACCAGGACTTTTAAACACGACCTACTACAAATACCTTACTAAAATAACAGTTTTTATTAAGCATTTAACCAAATAAGAGCACAAATATTTAAATATCATTTTTGCTGTTTTTGCCCAACTGCCTTCGTAAGTGAAAACATTTTACAAGGTCTGAAAAGTTTGATGTTGATAGTTAATAAAGTGGCACTTTAGACGGCTATTCTAACTCGTTCATCGGAAATGTAAAACACCGACAGTGTATAAAGATAAAAATAAAACTTTTCCGTAATCAGCA